ACTACTTTCTCGCGTGCTTCCTGAATAGGTCAGGAGGGCATTGCCTCAGAATCAGGCTGAGTCCAAGATATCATGGTAGCAGCACTGATAGCCACAGTATAGCAGAGAGTTTGCACAAAGCAGACAAAAGATGACAGTATCTGCTAGCCCGCCTCGTGAGGGAGCGGAGCTTTGGGGCTGATGAGGCCGAAGAAGTTGAACAACCGCTCGAAGGCACCACTTAGGGGCGGTGCCTGGTCAGCATCATATTTTGAACCTGCAGCTTCGGGTTGGTGGGGGGGCGGGGAGGCAGGAACCTGCAATGGTTTGCTAATGTTTGCTAGCATATGCCTCCCTCTGGGAAGACAAGAGATAAGGAGCTTCGTATTCTGATTGCTGCACTAGATTCATTTGCAAGAGTTGGGATGTGGGCAGACTCACCTAATCATGTGGTAGGGTGCAGTAATAAGGGCTCCGGCTGAGGCTGACGCCTCGGCAAGGCAACGTTCTGGGCCTTCTGCTTGGCAAGCCCTCAGGAACTGTAGAAACCTGCCCTTTTCCAACGGATGGTTTTAGCACGGGATTAGCTTTGCGCAAAAGTCCTAATCGGACTGGCCTGGCGATCACTAGCACTGCAGATATGGAGATAGAACAACCAAAATCGCACCTGGCGGAACAACACAAATCCAACCTTCCAACACCGTCCCAAAACCCTCAGCCGCGCCGGTGTCACCATGCTGGGCGCCAAAACGAAGAGAGCCAGCCCTGAACGGTCAACAACAAAGTCTTTGAGATTTCTTGAAGAATTCAGAGCATCTGTAGCTGAACAAGATATGGAAGGCGCTGCAATTGACGAGCAAAGGCTACGACCCTGGAACACATGCAAGTTAAGGGCCCATTGAACCAGTGAAGTTGCAGAAAAGAGCCAGGGGGTTGTGAAGAACGGTCTCCGCTACTGTCACTGAGAAGTCGGCGTTACTGATGTTGGCCAGTACCTAGATGGGTGGGATTATAACCCGATCTGAACACGCAGGCCTCAAGACATAATTCTTAATCATAAGCCTCCCAAACACTTATAACCATGGTTTACATACCCAATGTTCAGCGTTAAAGACCATTGTTAATGAAGACTGGACGTTTTTTCATCCATTTCAGATCCCGTTCGGCTTTATGCCAGTGCTTTGCGATCGAGATTCGAAGTAACAGGTATAAGAGACTACATGACAAGATGTTACTTGGCAAGAGCTCTGAGATGCCCAGGAGGCCTTCCGAAATGGAAGCCCTTGTCCCACATGGTTGCCCAACATCCCTGCAAAAAAGGCTCCTCAAGTTTCTCCTTCTGCCAGACTTAGATGTCCAGACCTTTGTTTGCCATGTCTGCCCGAAAGCATTGAGCAAAGCCTGCGTGGGGGCCTGCAAAGGTGCCGGCGGAACAAAGCACCACCAGAGGTGTAAACTGCTTTCCGTCCACCACAAACTCCAGGATCTGCGCAAAGCCATCATGTGAGCAGTTTGTTAACCTAACCAAAAGGAGAATATGAACTTATGGTCCCCATTAAGATGCTACTCATCTGGAAACTTGCGAGGGATCAATGGAAGGCAATCCAAACCCTTTACCCTTACCTCCCCCCACCCCGAGCCGCACACACACCACGCACCAAGGGCCTACGGATGGCATGTGTTGAAAAGCTCCCACGCGTACCCAAGCTCCTGTGTTCTGAACTAAGATGGCATGATTGTGTTTTTTGTGGACACCGTCCACCCCCCGGAATCTTGCTTTGAATAGTTCCGGCCCGAACTAGTTTCCCCCCAAACGCCCAAACGTTCCCATCAAGGGGAATTGGAGATGCCCTTAGAAGTTAGAACTAGTAATGACTGGAACTGCTCTCAGAAAATGGTCTCTTTTAATGAAGCCTGAGCATGCAAACCAACCGCAGCCTGCACGAAAGGCCCAGTTAAAGCCGTCGCGACCTCAGGCCCCACCCACATTTGAAGTGGGAGGTAGGGTGTGGCAGATCCTCCATAATCCCCGTAGAATGGCACCAATATTCCCTCCCCACTATAAATCTTTAACCTTTAAACCTACAATTTGAAGGTGGAAGGCCGATTTTGCAGCAAGCTTCGGCTCGCCTATGTTTGATTGATTGCTGATAGATTGGCAAGGCTCCCGGATTCTTGTAAAAGAGTTTGGGGGTATGCAGCTATACGAAGATATTTCTAGGTTCTAGGGTAGTGTTGAGGGCCTTCACCAGAACCCTATACACAAGCAGGGGCGCGCCTACCTTTTACATGAAACACGCGGCGCAGGCTGCCAGCCTGCAGGCATTGAAGCACGGACGGAGCATCCCCCTTGTCCACGCCGGCAGATTCCAAAATTGCCTGGAAAGTTTCTTCTGCACCTCCCTGTAGCGTCCAGTGCAAGTCCGCTGCAATGCAGAAGCCACGCTGTTTCAGCCCCAGCTTGACCTTGTCGCACAGCCCCACCTGCCACCAACTCCTCGAGGTTCTTCTTGCAGTCCATATCCGCTGCAGCACAGCAAGAACAGCAGAAGAATGCAAATCGACAACGTCGCAGCACAGCGACGGCAGCACTTTCCAAAGCTAAGGACACTCGCCCTGCATTTCACACAACATCAGACACACACGCGCACCAGGAGAGGACCTCGTCCTACAATGCAGAGATCTCCCGCGAGATCCTGCGCAAGCACGCGTTTGCTCAAATCTCCTCTGAGATCAGATCTCTCACGAGATCTACTATCACCACAGAACTCAAAAATTTCCACGATCTCCCCTGGAGACTGATCTCCCACGAGATCACTAACCGCCGCAGGACTTGACTGCTCTCAGCGGACACCCACTCAAACACAAGGCTCCCCACACAAGACATGAGCGCAGGCTGAATGATGGCACGGCTCGAACGGTGAGGCACTGACAGAGGGATCCTCCTCCCAGACTTCCTAATGCCAATCATCAATATCCTCGGAAGGCGCGCAAGCTCTCCTGACGGCACCACATTCCAGTATCACGGCTGCATGGAACCTAGCACTCAACTTGTTCACGACGTACACCGCCAGCGCAGGCAGCCCCTTTACACAGGCCTCTGCCCCCTGGCTCAGGCCCACTTCAACATCTGACACATCAGAGATCCTCTCTGCCGCATTTCTACGCCATAGCTTCTCTCGAATCACGGGAGCGATGATGCTCCCAAAGACGCTGCGACACGCTGTCAATACCTACCTGCACACCCCAGGACAACCCTGTAGCCTTTAAGCTATGCAAGGTGTAAGCACCCACAGATGCGGCAGGCAGCTTGCCGACGCTCACCAACAAACAGACGCCGGAATTAAGATTGCACAAATGTGAAGGATGCTTTGCTTCCATTGAGGCCAGGTAGAAGGAGATCAGTGTTTTTTTTGCCGCGCAATCACCACCGCTCGTGTCCAATCTCCGTGGATTCCAACTGTCAAGCAACCCCAGGGCATAGGCTCTCGCGACGACTTGGTTCTCCAGCAATTACAACCCACGATCCCCTGCACAATGTCCATCTCCGCCACTGAAACACGCTGCGCATCACTAAACCGCAGAGCGGCCCACCGCATGATTAACAACAGCACAATCAAGCAACTCTCCCCATCTAAATCCTCCTCCTTGCTCATGGCCTCTAGCACGGACTTCTCAAAATTCGCAACCGTTGCCAGAGGCCAAGGGAGGGCCTCTTTGCGAGCCTCCTTGGCCTCAGTAGAACCGGTCCAAGCTGTAACCACAGGATTTGCCAAGCACGCCGACAGTCTGTCCCAACCCAAGATGCCCGCGACAAACTTCAAGGAGACCACTGGCGCATTGCTCACACGCTTCTTCAGCTGCACACAGGACAAGAAGCTGACCAAAGTACTTACTTCCGTGTTGGCCGTCAAGATCTCACTCCCATGGGTGAAGTCAAGCCACAGCTTCAAACCGGGCAAATGTCTACGCAGGGTCCCAGCAGCCTTACCAGGCAGAATTCTCCAAAGGCTTTTCACAGCTAACTCGCCCATGTCCTTGAAGAAAGGGGACGAAAAGAAGAAAAACTGCAAGTACCCAGCCCAAGTCTCTGCCAAAAGACAAGTGCCGGAGGGTCAACCGGGACCAGCAGAGAACTGTCCGCATCTGCCTTTGAATCCTTCCCAAGAGGCCTCGGCAGGCCCCCTTTGCGCAGAGGCAGGTATCCCTGCACGCCAGGCTCACGCGACCAATTCGAGCGAGGCAAGTCTGCCCCAGAATTCTCGGGCTGCTTCAATTCCACGAAGGAAGGAGCCGGTCTGGGCTGCACGCTGCGCCCCGTGTGATATGGACCGGCTGCTTCCACCTTTGGACGTGGAAGCCCAGGCCCTGTGTACAGCATCGCGAACACACAGCAAGCCCAACAGCAACCGAAAACAGCTGCAACTTCTGCAGACACACTCACAACAGTGTTGCAACTAGGACCCACAGATCCAACAGCTGGGCATCCACCGAATACTCACAAGTGAATAAGTAGAAGAAGGTTAGGAGAGAAGGCCGGTGTTCTTGCCTAACCCAACCAAACCGGGAACACCAACACTTCCAAAAAATCGGGGGCTCCTGATACTGAGGATGATCATCGATTGAGGTCCATATTGGGACCGCCTGTTCATGGAAACCCATATTTTGATGAACATGACAGATGCAATGCCAAACTAGCTCCCTGTTGATTTCGGAATCTACGAAGGAATGTGCACCCAGAATGCCCTGTGTTCTGCAGTCTATAGCCCGGAAATAATCCTAAAGTCCCAACATTTATTTTCCGTAGGGTTAGATGGACGGCCTCTCGTACCAAGCCTCGCGCAGCACAGGTTGAGGCCGAGGTCTTCTCGAGGCCCTGGAACTGCACTGCACATGAGAAGTCCCATGAAAATGCAGCCCCTATTTTGTTTGCTTCGTCCCAGTGGCGCGTACTATTGCTATCTATCTATCTATCTATACATACATATATGTGTATATATATATATGTATGCATACAAAGTACCCAAACAAGGACCATCACTTTGACAACCCCTCAGATCCGGCTCAGAGTGTGCAAGCTCTGGGAATGCCTGCTGGAGCCAGTCCTGACAGGCCGTCTTCTGAAGAGTAAGCTGCCGGCCAAGATTTGCAGCACGTAGCCAAAGAAGAGCCAGAAGGCCAACTCTGTCGAGGGAACAACCAGACTTTGAACCTTGCACGCAGCAACAATGCTCCTTGCTGCAATCTGTAGAGGATCCAGGTACTTCATGGCACTTTCCTGGCAAGGTGGCCTGTTTGGAATTCGACGCGAAGAACGGCAGGGACACCACCTGCAAATGTCTGGATCAACTCTTGAAAAGCCCCAAGGCCTGATTTTGCAAAGGCTTTCGGCTTGCGATGCGGTGGATTCAAGTGATTCAAGCTTGCACAGCCATCACATGTCTCCAAAATTCACGAAAGAAACCCGACTAGTATGAACTGGCTGACTTGCTAGGTGCTGCAACGCCAAGCGCAGAATATCGGACAGTTCAGCGGCATGGAAGCGTGAGGGTCCAAGTCGGGCAACGCCAGTAACGATGTAGCCATGATCCAGCATCATTTCCGCCGTTTCTCCAAGGGTCCCTCCGCACCCCACCCCAAATGCAGTCTGAAACCAGCATGCGCTCCTGAGGTTTTCTCCCGCTACAGATGGATTTTTCAAGGAATTTGGAACCCCAGGACCCGAAAAGCATCATGCGCACGGACCGTCTTGAAAACTAGCCCCAAGGCCCCTTTTGAGCCAGAGCTGAATATAGGTAGACGGAGACATACATGGAGAAACAAACTTCCAATCCTTTTCTCGTGATGTTGGCCAAGGGGGCTAGCCTCATCAGCATCATTGGGGCTGCTTCTCCAGGCTACTAGTATGCTTGTGCGCTCTTGGCCAGCTTTTCTGCGCCCTTTTTGGGAGGATGTGTCGCCGCAAATGCCAAACAGTTGGGATTCGCGGTGTCTGCCGCGCGCGGGCAGATGCTCATAACGGCGCGCGGTGTGCGCAGCACGACGTGCGTGCGGCAGGACTCTGGCGTGGGTCTTGACATAGCTAAGCAAGCTAAACCTGCACGCAACTGGACCTGTGGGGTTGCCCCGGGCGTCAGCCCCTAAACACGGATATATAAGGCTAGACGGAGATTCAAGAAAGCATTCAGACTATAGTATTCGGGATCTGAAGTTTTGTTGATTGAGTACTACTTAGCCCTTTGGGGCACACAGAGCGAGCAAGCACTGCAGGCCCGGCCGCTGCTGCAAGAAAGCGCAGCGCGAGCAGCTCGGGGGCAGTCAGGTCCATTGGCGCCTGGTCGCAGCTGACAATTACCGATGAACAAGCTACATCAACAGGGGTGCCCTGCAGCGGGTAGCATATACATTCATATGTACTCTCTCTACACAATGTCCATCTTCTCGTTATGTCCATCTTCTCGTTGTGTATATGTATATATATATATGTAGAGAAAATATGCATACACATGTGCTGTACTCAAAGTCATGACCAAGTTTTCGGTTGTAAACAGGTCACCCGTTAGTGTCTGCCGATTTCGTTTTGCCTGATTCCTTTTCAGCATGCCATCAAAATTCTTCGAGAAGTGGATTTGGGGTTATCAACGTCCTGTCATTAGTCTTACAGGCAGACAGTTGGCAGCTAAATCAAATGAAGCTGTGGTATGATTGACAAGTCAGAAATGTGTGAGAACATTCCATGCCTCCAGCTCCACCCTGCCAGGCACTTTGATCTCTGAACTTACCCTCACGGGATCGATTAGACTAATCTAAGCTGCTGCACAGGCGCTATCAGTAAGTCTGATCCTGGCACGCTCCTCCAATACCGAAAATGTGGTAGCTTCCCATTGCCAGGAGAACGCTCGACAGGGAATCCGACATTTCAGCGGTTCTGGATTTCATTAGGAGCAGCTAACAAACACAGCTAAAGGCGGCAGCGGTGCGTTTTGAGGAGGGGAACGTTGCCACCTGCTGCACCCCATCTTCAAGCTGAGCCTGCACAGACGTCAGCATCTGAGATACAGACCGTAGAGGATGGCCATGAGCACGAGGATTGCCGGGGCTGTCACCTCTCCAAAGTTGTGCAACTGGCAGAAAAGCATTAAACGTCAAAAGCAATAGTCATAGTGATGATCTAATAGCACTAGAAGTAATAACAGTAGTCGTGGACTGGAACCTCCTAATTGTGCACCGAACCAGCAACTGCAGGCCAGCTTTTTCCCAGTAGTCTATGCGCAAGATGATGTTGCCGGTGTGCTGGTGTGAAGTTGCCTCAGTCTGGGCAAATGACAAGAACTGCAACAGAGCGTTTCGGTAAATCTTAGATAGAAGTCCTCAAGCAGAAAGTGTGCGCCAGCAAGCGAACTGCTATTCAAAGTTTCAATTTTGCTGGGGGTTCGAATCACCTTAAATACAGCTCTGCGCTCCTCGTGCAGGTTGCACCAAGCCACTGCTTTGTCGGAGAGCTCTTGTGCGCATGTTCCATGGCGGCAGCCTGCGCAAACGTAGCTGTCTTTGGAACGTGGACTTAGCTTAGGCAGATGCGCAACATGGGCTGCGACAGCAATAGGGGGTCTTGCACGTGCCTCGAACATCTGTCGAAAGGCCAAATCAATACCTCGGCTCAGCATCTGCGCGTCTGCTCGTGAGCAGAATTCAGCACGTTGGAAGATGTTCATGATGAGCTAAATCAAAGCCAGGACGCGCAGAAGGTTCTGCTCAAACCACGCTTCGTCATATTCGCCTTGATCGTGTGAGAGCTTTTGCATTGGCGTGTCGCACTTGGAGAGCTTGGCACGTGACTGTGAAAATCACGAAGCCATCGGAAAAAGAGCCCTTCGTGGTCTGAGGACTCTTCAGGTGCCTGTGGCTGCAATTGATACCCCACTTACAGGCCTACTTGCTGCCGGCTTCGCGCTGACTACATGCTGCAGATGGTCTGCCTGGGAATCGAGAAAATCCAGGACATGCTGGCGGACCTGAGCAGCATTTTACGCGCTGAGAAGTTTGACATGCTGCAAGTAAGGTTCTAACACTCTTTGTCTTGGAATGCGCTTTCCATTAGGATACCCTGGAAGGAGCGAATTTCATCGCCTTCACGCAAATTCATGGCTGCACAACTGCACGCAACAGCCTCTGATCAATAATTCTCTAATGCATGCATGGGCCGTACACGCGTATGTTTCAAGTTTCAGTCGAGAAACACTTAATGAGATCTCTGAATCGAAAAGCGCTGCAGTAGAGCGTCTCAAGCTTGCGACTATCTGTTTCGGGGTCTAGATGTGTAGGCATCAGCAGAGAAACCTGTGCTGAACCTCAGGGTTGTAGGGTTCCTGCTTGTAGACCTCCCCAAGAGATGCCTAGAAAAGTAGCCTTCAACCCCAGATAATCGGTGTATGGTGCACTCCTGTTGCCATTTAGGACCTTGCCCTAGGGCTCATAGGCTGTACAATGCGTGTTAGCCAGGCCCTCGGCTACCTGGGCGCTGTGGAAGTCCGCCTCGCTGCGCATCGCGGCCTAAAACAGACACAACTATGGTTTGAGTTTTTTTCTACATTCATGAATGTAAAGACAATCTGAAACCACGAGGAGACATTCCTGCATTTGTGAATGCAAAATCAAGCTCAAATCAGAATTTGGAGAAAAACAAAAGCAAAAGTGAAGCCACCTCCCCCCCGAATCTCCGATCAACATGCTTTTGGGAAAGCCTGTTTTTTGGACAGTGCCGCTAACAGGGGTCTAAATGCACGTCCGGGTTTCACTAACTATCATGAGAATAGGCATCTTGAAAGCCCATCTCTCTCATCAAAACATGTTCTACTCCGGACCCCGGAACGTATTTATTTGGGACGGTGCACAAAGACATAATTGCTAAGAAGACACTGCGTGCAGGGCTGGTGCTCATGTGGCATACTTCTTGTACTCGAAGAAAGCTGGAAAGCTTTCTCGTGCCATGTGCTGCGATGGAAAGGGACTGTTGCCGGTTCTATTACACGCTTTTCCCGCCTTAGGGCTGCACTCCCTGGAACTGCAAAACGCGACACGAGAGTGCCTTCTTTGCTGAAAACCATGCACTTTGGAAACAAATGCGTGCTCGAACAATTTTGAAAGCCCATATGGGCATCTCCAGATATAAGGGTCCCTTTAACATGTCCCAGCACGCTTTAATCCTACAGCATGCCACCTCAGACCGAGATGTCTGTCTTGTTTGGAAGCCCCGAAGTGCACACTCACCCACGCTCCGTTCCGAGCCCACCTCTACCCCCTCCTCTTTCTTCTGCAGTGCTGCACGGCGTAGCGCTGCCTTCCATATCTTTCCAAGTACTTGCGTAGACCTCCCAAATACCGAGAATACCGGCCTGTAATCTCAAACTTACGGAAATTTAGACTACTGCTATGATTATTCGAACGGGAGGTCTGGGTATGTAGTCGGGATTCTGAGCAGCTCTTTTGTCCGGAAGCTGAAGCCATGGTGGCTTTCCGCAAGTAGGGGGTGTCCCTTTGCAGGAGTACGTATATCAAGGATTCAAATATATTGGTTCTATCATGGGAGTTCCCAATTCTTGGAAACACCCTGTAGCAGGAGCTGAATGGTTACGAGGTGGGATAAGGATTGTGCCTGCCGAAAAAAGAAGGTTCAGGCTATCCATCAACGTTATATTAATGATCACCCACGGACGCCCCACTGCTCTTTTGCTGCAACTTTTCCTGCTGCCGCTATTCTTACTGTAAGCAGTTCTCCTCCTCCTATTTCTACTACAGCTACTACTTCTACCACCACTACCACTGCGAGACATCATGATGATGATCATGATCAGGATGACGATGACGACTTGAGGTATGTTGGGCCTCCTGCTGGTCGGCAGCCTCTGCCTGCTGAAGCCTCGGGTCCGGAGCACTCCATGTTTACGCAAGCCGGCCGTGCTCCAACGACAAGAGTGTTCCCAAAGAGTATGACCCATGTAACGGGATTATAATGGATCTTTGGGGCTTTAGAAAGATATACAGGGATATTCAGGGTTTAAGGGTTTCCGAAATTTGGGGTCAGGTCTGCTAATCCTTTATGTGCCCCAAAACCATAATAAACCACAAATGAACCACTTGTAGAAATGGCCGACCTCTTCAGTACCCATAGTGCGCGGTTTTGGGTTCAGGGTTAGGAGGTTTCCCGACAAGCGGGGCCCCCTAGTATACTCCTCTAATATTTTCTTTAGTTTCGGGGCCCTGCCCAAAAAAGGACCCTCATCACCTAGTAGGGGAAAAATGTATTGTTATGGGACGTGGGGTTTTGTGTTTAGGGGAGGGGATTATTCTGGGTTGAACTTGAACAAGTTACCAACGTATGGATCTGTGGTAGCAACACAACGTTTGGGAGGTCTAGGGTCATCTCCTGAGGTCATGACAGCGTTTCAGTCTGCTTTGCCAGCCAGCTTCCCAGCTTCCCGAATTGGGCCTGACAGCTCCAAATACAGTAGGGGCCCAGATACTTAGATAAGGTTTTGAGCTATATACCAGAATTGTATAAGGATAGTTGGGCAGTACCGCCCCAAAATGAACCCAAAAGGAACTCCAGCCCTTCTGATGAATCACTTGCAGAAGTCCACCCTGTGAGGCCAACTTGATCTTGCCTGTATTCACTGGCTGACATGCCTAGTCGTTGTTCCTGAGGCTCACTGTAGGATTCTTCTAGCATACGGACCCTTACATCACCCTGAGACCTGGAGGAACGGATAATAGAAGGCAGCATGCCACCAGTCAAATTTCAAAAGAGGAGATTTGCGCCAGTGCCCACACTTGCAATCTCGGCGCGTGGAATTTTTGGCTGGGCGACTTTCCGGCTGCATCATCCTTGGCCTCAGCGTGCCACTGTGCAGTGCAACAACTCTAAGACCCTGCCCTCCTTCCCGTCTTTGACATCCGAGTTCAGGATCTTGACAGTTGCAAGAGCTGGAATATCACCCTCCTTGGGTGCTTAATCCTTTGAGACCTTGAACCTTTCGAATACGAAGTGAAATTCATCCTGACCTGCCGCAGACCTGTTCCTGGTGCGGAAGGGAGGCATTTACAGGAACCTCTCTCTGCATGGCTTGCAAACAGAACAGCGAATCGTGGTCTTTGCGCACGTGGGAGTTTGCAACGTCGGGAAACAATTCTTGGAAGACAAGGTGACTTCAAGCTCTCCTGTGAATCTCTTCTAGCTCAAAACTGTATCAGCGAAGCCTCTCTTTTGCAAAAGATATTTTTCTCGTCGGTGGTTGATCTTGACCATCTGAGGTGGCACCAAGGGCCAGGCAGATTTGCTGCGTCGCCGCTGTGCTGCACGAAGAGAAAGCAAGCGTGCCTGCAGCGACACAGAAACGGAACTCACGGCTGCCGAAGGGCTTTCCGTACCCTTCCGAAGCCTCCGCCTGCTCCAGAGCTGCCCGCAAGGCCTCTCGGTGTTGCCGCGGAAGTTTTTTGGAGGAGTTTTGAGTTGATGGATACGAAATACCGTGTCCCCACGGGATTGCAGACCCTTCTCTTGACAAAGTGCAACCGACCAGGCAGCAATCAGATAAATCGATAAAAAAGCAAACACGGAAGCTGAGCAGGCTGTCCATCTCAGAACACCAATCAACAGCATCAACCGATTGAGGCAGCTTTCTTTTGGCAGAACAGACTGGTGAACGGCCTGGACAGTCTCCTCTGCTGTGGCAATCTCTCGCTCGAGCTCCTGCCAGTGCAATCTTGAAGTTGGTCCTTCAGTATAGATCCTTTACCGAAACCGTAGTTTCCATTTTCTTTTCCATTATCCCTATATACTCCTAGAATACCCCTAAACAACTATAGTGCGGTCTGGCAAAGCGGGTAAGTCTTGTTCCAGCCTCGGGCGCTTGGCCGCCTTCGCTTGGAAACGCCATCAGGGGCGTAAAAGCTCAATGAACCCCTGCATAGACGGGTTGAATAAGGCCCTTTTGGTAAGTAATATTAGGGTTATACTGGGATAATGGAAAACAAAATGGAAGCTACTATTTAGGGTTTAGGATGGTTTAGGGTTAGGGTTTAGGTGTTTGAGAGGCCTAGGATTTCTTGGTCCACGTTTTTCGTCAAAGGTGGCCTGTAAAACAGTGGTGGAAAAAGTGGCGCAAACATGCAGCTTGAGCCCAGCCGAAGCCAGCATGGCATGTACTCTGTTCGGACCGCCATCTGAGATCTGGCTGCGCCAACTTTTTTCCAACTATACTAGCCGTAAAACCATGAATGGCAATCAAAAGATGGAAAAAGGAAGCAGTGACCGTAGCAATGGTAGTGTGGCCACAAAGGGGAACAACATAATCAAGCACCGCCTCGTTCACAAAGCCCGAGGACTCCGATTCTGGCGGCCCTTGGACACCCGAGCTGCGCCTTGGAAGGGTCCATGTGAAACTCAGTGGGTCCATTGCTATATAGGGATGATGTAGTGACATAAGGTTATACAGGAATACCCCGGCGTATAGGGAGTACAGGGCTCGGGGCTTTAAACCCAACATAGGATAATCAAGTGGAAAGGATATGGAAATTTGGCCTGTTACGGGGTTAGCAGGATTACGGTGAGGCTAGATAAGTAGATTATGAAATGCTACTGTGTTCCTATACATGCCTAGTTACAAGTTACAAGAGACCATAGGATATCATCTCGTGACACCGCGGGATAACCACACCTAGGTCCAAAAGGTTGTCGACAGATGCTGCAGACGCAAGGGCATTGGCTTGACATAGAATGGAAAGTTCCGAAGCTCCAGGACATCGTGCAAGGCTTGTCCGAGAAATGTGAAAGCAAAAAGTAGGTACATCGTCTTGCATATGTGAATGACTGCATGTCACAGCCCTCCCTATGACATGTGGGCCAGGCCTGGCCACTGTGAAAGCAGTGCGCATGCGGGAGCCTCAGGTACGCAAATCCACCCGACTACTCTGGGCACTGTGCATCATTCTGAGTTTCAGTCGCTTCCACAGCAGACGCACGCCCGTCGCAGCGGCTAGGAAGCCACGCAAGCAAGTTCCAGAACACACGGCTTGCTGCTGCCTGGAAAGCTGGACTTCAGCACAGAAGCAGAAGGTAAGGCGAAGGTAAGGCGGTTTTTGATGCCGTTTGGCTTCAAAGTGTTCTTCTGCTGCTCATAGTGCGCTTGGAAGTTCCCTGGCCTCTGGCCTCCCCTGCAGCTGCTACTCTTGGAGAATTGCTATCACTGCCCCGCAAGTATGCCCGTTATACCACTTCCCGGAACGCCTTCTTGCCGGCAGCAATGGTACGGCAGCATGGGATTGCAGCTGGCCTCGTCAAGATTGCACGGCTTCGTCGGTTCCCAACCCTTCCCTGTTGATTGCCAGTAGCGGTCCCCGCGACTTCCAAACATTGCCGGCAAAATACGAGAAGTGCCTGGAAACTCGAACAATTCGTCGTCATCTGGTCTCTTGACTACATCTAGATGGCCGCCCAGCACCGCTCGTTAGGATGCACGGGCGCAACCCCAAGAATGAGTTGAGCCTTTTGAGTTCAATGGTAAGATGAAATGATCGAAAGCTGGCCCAGAATTTCGGATGCTGCGCTAGAATGCACTGGAGATAGGAACTTGTGCGGACGTATGGCCTGGATCTCTTTGGACGCCTGCCTTTACCTGTGGCAATCTTTGGCTCACAGCCAAGGCAGGTGGCGCATCCATGGCGGATAGATCAGGTGTGTTATTGAATCCGAAGCCCGACAACCAAAACCCATCGGAAGACTGCGCAGTTCAGACTTGCAAGCACAAGTTGGAACTACAAACAAAGTAAAGCTTGGCGTCTCTGGCTGCAAGAACGTTTTTGAGTAGCACAGTTTATGAAAAAGGATTCGACATGCCAGCGCTGTTTATGGGTTGGGTTTCGAAGCTTTTGGCAGCGGAACTGTCCAAACCTGGGGGCCTCTGCGAAAGAGCACAAAGCAAAAACCCAGATGCAGGTATTTACCACCCCTAGAGCAGCTCCTATATCAGCCTCAAGAACCCTGCATTCCCCGCTATGCACCAGGGAGCTTGATTCTCTGTTTCTGCGCATGGTGCAAACAATCTGAGCGATACTCCAGCTATGCTCTCAGCAGCCTTGTGCTGTGTCTTCGTCCTTCACGGAGCCACGGCTTGCAGCTTCGAACGTCACAACAGCATACCGTTAATACTAGACTAAAAGCGTGCGGACTCTAATCTAAAGGGGGTAGATTGGGGGGCATCGGCAGGTGCCTCCTCAATGCCAACATCGTGCTGCGAAAGCTGCCTGAGTCAGTTCTCTCTTCTTCTTTTGGCTATGCCAACCCCCGAAGGAGGTGGCTGCGGCTTCGGTCCATAACCGCCCACATGTCCAATCGTCAGGTGGCCGACCAGCAAGGATCGAGATACCACAAACGAGAATCGCCCAAACAGAATCTTTAGCCAGCGGTTACCAAAAGCCCTTACCTATAATCACTCGTTTGGGCTCTTCTCATCGGTCAGATCTCTCTCTTTCTTTTTTTCAGGGCTAGAGGGAGAGCAGAGGCCCTTCCCTGAGGTAATGCCTCAAGCCCAAGGAGTCCACGCAGCGTCCTTTCGGAGCTGACCCAGGAGGCCCGAGGTAACGAACGTGCTCAGGTCCCATTCGGGACAGCTTATAAGTCCCTGCCTACATGCATGACAAATACCTCTGTTGGGTCCCACACATGCACCTGCCTTGTATTCTACTGGGCTTAAAAAAACAGTGTACACACTTCAGAAATGGGGGTGCGCTCGACTGAAGCTCGCACCAGGCGATACGATGAAATTCTCTCTTCTTCTTCTTCTTCGGGTGCTAGAGAGCCCTCACGGTCCTCTCGGGGGCACCGTCCCACACTCCCAGCAAGTTCACGTCTAGTACCCAGGTCCGAAACGTGGCACAGCAAATGCCCAGAATGATGGACTCACATATCCCTTCTGACCCACGTTCGAGTGCGCATCCTACTCACCGGGCTGACACTTCTGTACGGGTAGTCCATGGGCTCAGGAAGTCCAAGCATGAGAACCAATACCCACCATATACTAAAGCAATTCCCGGTTGATAGCCCATGTCATTGCCCACTCGAGTGGTGCATATTCCTCTCCCCAGTCAACACTCTCGCAATGAAATTCTTTCTTTCTTTCGTTCGTTCAGGCTATGGAGAGGGGGTGAACCCCATCTCCGGGCGTCATTGCCCAGCCCGTGTCGGGCTCTTCGGTCGTTGAACCCCTCATCGTTCCATAATTGCTGGGAATTCCACCTTGGGGCCCTAGTATCAAAATTGGGGTAGTATCTCTCTTTCCCAGCTTTTGGAACTGCGTCACAAGTGGTATCCTTGCAATGAAATTCTCTCTCTCTCTCTCTCTCTGCCTTTCTTTCTTTCTTTCTTTTGTTGGGGCAATGGAGTCAGCGACTTGCGCCGACCCCGGGGGTCCACTCCCCTGCCCGTGTTGGGCATGAGCTGTTGGCTTGCTACGTCACCTTGGCCTTTTCCATATGCTAGCTAAGAGCCTCTCTCTCTCTCTGATCCCTCCCATAGACAACAGAGACAAATTCGCAGAAGCCCGAGGCTGCAGCTCGAGCTGACCATCCAGGGCCTCTTTGCATTGGAATTTGGCTACGAACCAGAACCAGAACATAAGGAAGCAGGACCATGTCCGTGCCGTACACAGCATGTGGTACTTTGGGGCCAAAGTCTATGTTTTTTTGGAAACATTTGGAAACCACTCAGCTCGCCTCCAGGCGCACAGCCAAGTCCCGGATCACGCCTTGCAGCTGCTGCCGGCAGCGGCGCTCCTCTGCATGGCTCTAAATCTCAACACCTTTGCCGCACCCAACGTCTCTCAGTCTATGCAAGCTATAGTCTAAACGCCTAGTGTCCCCCTTAACAAGCCCTATACCAATCCCCGATATAATCCCCTATACGACTCCCTTGCGAGGAGCTTAGACTGTAGCTCATCAATGTCCTTTAAACCTCCACACCCTAAACCCTAAACTGGAAAGGGCATAAAGGGTGGGGGCGGCCTGCTTCAGCCCGGAGGCTGCGGAACGCAGCATCTTCGAGGCCTCAAGGAGCCGCTCCTCGCAGTCCTCCCGGGCAATTTAGGCAACTTACTGGTGAGGAATACAGAATGACAATCAACGAAGGGACAAGAACATGGAAGCTACTAAAGTATCTTAAGTCTATAATTAAGGCTTAGGATTGGGGGAACGCTAGTATACAGGCAGGATTGATACAGCATGTTACCGCCATCTACTCCCGCACTTTCTTCAGCAATTCTCTTAGCCTGATGCTGCCAAGCGGCTCTCTGGGCTTTGCTGACAGTGAGCCAGGTCTGCAAGGCATCAGTTTTCAGCTAAACGAGACAGGGTAAAGAATTGCAGGCAGGATCCGACCAAGCCATGTTTAGCTTCTCGATTGCTTGCCTGAAGCCCTTCGGACAGCTGCGGCAGAGGCTGAGCGGGCCTGTCAACTGTCTTGAGCATAGCAACGTGCAAGTACCAGCCAGTCTTGCCAGGGATATCTTTTAAAGCAGCTGCTTGGCAAGCTTGGGCAGCACCAGGCGTGAATGGTTGATGGCCTCTTTTGTGCATTTTCAGCTGCTGCCGCGCTGGCAGAGAGCGCCTCCGTTCTGCACAAGGCGAACGTGCAACCAACGTGCGACGAACATCACATCAGCTGCGACGTTGAGCCGAACTAAGAAACAAAGACGTTCAAAGACCAAGCCTCCGTCGCGTACCTTAGCCGCTCGTCCAACATCTGGGCCTAGCACAAACAGACCGCTAGGCCGATGCACTTCAGTGAGTCACAGAATCGGGAATCCTTTGCTGCCCACGACTTTCGTGCAAGTGCACAAGGGATCTATGCGGCCGCTGCCTGCTGCTCCCCTCTGGCCAGGCCTGTTCCTGCCCCTCGCGGATCTCTTGCCGAAGTGCCTGCTATCGAAGCCGATCAGCAGTCCAGGCATGCTTGCACAGAGCGATCTTCACCGTGATGAGGTTTGATGCCTCACGCTGACGCTGGCTCTCAGCAACGCGCATTGCTGCAGAGGCGTCCCGTGCCTCTGGGAAAGGCTTGAATTCACTCAGGCTCACTTCGCCCATGCGCAAGTCGTGGCTTGCGTAATTCATGTTGCATAGACGCCAAAGTCTGTGCAGATCTGCGCACCGCACAGATTGCTGACACGACGCATGCGTAGCATGAAAAGAGGATATCATGATGGCAAACTGAGTCACCGAGGGCCGAGACCAAAGCAGATTTGGAAGCCTCCAGTTCGGACCTGGGTGTGGGGTTTACAAGGCCTTGAGAGTGCCACATTTCATGCCAACATCTTGCCTTTTAGGGATCCAAGGAAGTGCGGGGATTGCTTGAGGATACGCAATGGTGGCCTTTTTGAAGGATTTCATCGGGGTAGTTTTGAGAGACCACTTGAGACGAAGTCAGGCAGAAGTTAGGCTCCCGGCGTCCAATGCTGCAATGCCTCTTGGAAGTGCGGGAAGCATCAATCGGTAGCTAACAGAGATAGTCTCAGGAATCTTGCGATGTGGTTTTTGTTGGTAGTCCACCAACGAACGCGCTGCTTCATGGGGGTCACGTTCAAAATTGAGGAACCACAACAATTTGCCTGCTCTCTGGCCCTGCTTCCTCTCTCTCCCCGACCCGTCCTTTGCCTCAGCTTCCTGCCCCATCCACATCCACGAGGTCCAGCAGCGTCGTGAGTGACAAAGGATGATGCCGACTTGCTGCAATCCTCCCTGTTACCCATGCCCAGAACATCCTCCCTTGCAGTCGGTCTTTCCGTGATAGTTTAAGGGAGCCGGCAAAATCTGCTGGCGGGGCATACGGAGAGTTGGGCGTGTCCTGGAGCAAGCGTTTCCGAAAGCTTCTCGCGTTTCTGTTGTTGCCCAGCCCGTGGGGGGCTTCAGGGTCAGGGTTGCCCTTGAAGCGTCTTCTTGCTTTTGCATCTTTCGCTGAAGCTGCGGCCGAAACCCCATTCAGGACCAGGATGTTGCATTGGCATGGCTTTCACAACATGCTGCTCTGGACCAGCCCCGTCTATCAGCTCAAAGTTCAGCTGTCATGCCGTACTGGAGACAATAGTGCACACATGCGTGATGCGTACACTGATACCTAGACCTCCCAAATTCCCGTAGTTACAGTCGGTATCCATATTATTGCGGTTTCAGGCCATGATTATAGATACTTGGGAATGTCATGGCATGTCCTGAACGGCCTCACTCTGCTCGGCAAGTCGACGGGCCAGGGACATGCGCTCCTCTGAAGAAAAAACAAGGACAGCTTCTGGTGCAAGGCTAGGGTTCTCCGCATCTCCCTCCCCCCCAGAAAAACACATACATATATATATATGTATATGTATGTCAATCTTTCAAATTTCCTGTTTGTCCGTCGATGCGGGTACTATTGCATGTGACTGTAGCAGCGAAGTACCAGCAGAGCCTCTCCGAGGGCATCGAGATCTGCTTGTGCCTGCGCAAGGTCGCCTTCAGGGGGTCCAAAGAGCTGAGCAAGGTTGGGGTTCTCTTCACCTCTCCCCCCAGATATTCGATAGCATATATACATATATATGGTACCCGCCCCCCATGTACCCACGCCTCTTCTCCTTCATATCAGAAATACTGGGAATAGAATTGTATAACTGGAGAAGTCGTGGGCCATGGGCGGGGAAGGGGTATAATCAGTAGTAGAATGGAAGGGGTACAGTCAGTAGTAGAATCAGCAGGCCCCTAACTGGAATAACACCTCGTAAGACCATT